CACCGCCACCCCCACTCCCCCCGCCGCCCCCACCTCCTCCGCCACCGCCCCCGCTAGCTCCACCCGCTCCCTTGCCCCCCTTGCCCTTGCCAGAGCGGCGCCTATCGCTGGGGGCAGACGCCGCACCGACCGACTCTAGACCAACGAGGTCGGCTGCAGCAGCAGAGGCGACAGAGGGTAACAGGGGGGAAGGAGAACACCCCTCAAAGATGGGGGTGCGGGGGTCACCACGAGAGGCCCCTACAGCGAGTATGCTCTTCTCGGCCGCTAGCAGGGACTTCTCGAGGAGGTCGAGAGTGAGGGTGGTGGGACAGACAGAGAGAAACTGAGAGAAAAAAAAGTTACGAGGTAGTGGTGGTGGGCCCTAAGAACAGTTCCCACAGGGGAACCTGCTCTGATACCATGAGAAGAAGTGAACGAGAATGGAATGACTATGGACGAAGTGAGTACAAATAGGAAACCCTAATTGGGTTGTACCCCCTATGGGATACCCCACTATAGCCTACACAAATATATAAGCTATAATGTTCTGACATATCCTCCCGAGGATATCCGCTCGAGGATATCCGCCCGAGGATATCCTCCCGAGGATATCCTCCCGAGGATATCCTTCCGAGGACGGATATCCGCTCGAGGATATCCTCCCGAGGATATCCGCTCGAGGATATCCGCTGCGAGGATATCCGCTCGAGGATATCCGCTGCGAGGATATCCGCTCGAGGATATCTTTGCGACGATATCGCTGCGAGGATATCCGCTCGAGGATATCCGCTGCAAGGATCTCCGCGCAAGGATATTCGCTCGAGGATATCCGCTGCGAGGATATCCGCCGCGAGGATATCCGCCCGAGGACATCCTCCCGCGGATATCCTCATGAGAATATCCGCCCGAGGATATCCGCTCGAGGATATCCGCTGCGAGGATCTCCCTGCGAGGAAATCCGCTCGAGGATATCCACTGCGAGGATCTCCGCGCGAGGATATCCGCTCGAGGATATCCCCGCGAGGATATCCCTGTGAGGATATCTGCTCGACGATATCCCTGCGAAGATATCCGCTGCAAGGATATCCGCGCGAGGATATCCGTGCGAGGATATCCGCTACGAGGATATCTGGGATATCCGCTCAAGGATATCCGCGCGAGGATATCCGCTGGAGGATATGCGCGCGAGGATATCTGCGCGAGGATATCTGCGCGAGGATATCCGCTGGAGGATATCTTCGCGAGGATATCCGCTCGAGGATATCCGCTCGAGGATATCCACGCGAGGATATCCGCTCGAGGATAACCGCCGCGAGGATATCCGTGCGAGGATATCTGCTGCGATGATATCCGCTGCGAGGATATCCGCGTGAGGATATCCGCTGCGAGGATATCTGCTGCGAGGATATTCGCTCGAGGATAGCCGCTGCAAGGATATCCGCTCGAGGATATCCGCTCGAGGATATCCGCTCGAGGATATCCGCGCGAGGATATCTGCTCGAGGATATGCGCTCGAGGATATCCGCTAGAGGATATCCGCTGGAGGATATCCGCTGCGAGGATATCCGCTGCGAGGATATCTGCTCGAGGATATCCGCTGCGAGGATATCCGCTGGAAGATATCTGCGCGAGGATATCCGCGCGAAGATATCCATTGGAGGATATCCGCGCGAGGATATCCGCTGCGAGGATATCCGCTGGAGGATATCCGCTGCGAGGATATCCGCTCGAGGATATCCCCCGCGAGGATATCCCTACGAGGATATTCGCTCGAGGATATCTCTGCGAGGATATCCGCTCGAGGATATCCGCTCGAGGATATTCGCGCGAGGATATCCGCTGCGAGGATATCCGCTCGAGGATATCCGCTCGAGGATTTCCGCTGCGAGGACATCCGCTCGAGGATATCCCTGCGAGGATATCCCTGCGAGGATATTCGCTCGAGGATATCCGCTGCGAGGATATCCGCTCGGGGATATGCTCGCGGGGATATCCGCGCGAGGATATCCGCTGCGAGGATATCCGCTTGAGGATATCCGCGCGGGGATATCTGCGCGAGGATATTTTGCTGGGAGGATATCCGCGCGAGGACATCTGCTGCGAGGATATCCGCTCGAGGATATCCGCTCAAGGATATCCGCTCGAGGATATCTTTGCGATGATATCCCTACGAGGATATCCGCTCGAGGATATCCGCTGCGGGGATATCCGCGCGAGGATATACGCTGCGAGGATATCCGCGCGAGGATATCCGCGCGAGGATATCCGCTCGAGGATATCCGCTGCGAGGATATCCGCTCGAGGATTTCCTTGCGATGATATCCCTACGAGGATATTCGCTCGAGGATATCCGCTGCGAGGATATCCGCTCGAGGATATCCGCGCAAGGATACCCGCGCGAGGATTTCCGCGCTAGGATATGCGCTGGAGGATATCCTCGCGAGGATATCCGCTCGAGGACATCCGCTCGAGGATATCTGCTGCGAGGATATCCGCTCGAGGATATCCGCGCGAGGATATCCGCTGCGAGGATATCCGTTGCGAGGATATCCGTTGCGAGGATACCTGCTCGAGGATATCCGCGCGAGGATATCCGCGCGAGGATATCTGCTGCGATGATATACGCGCGTGAATATCCGCGCGTGGATATCCGCTGCGTGGATATCCGCTGCGAGGATATCCGCTCGAGGATATCGGCTGCGAGGATATCGGCTTGAGGATATCCGCGCGAGTATATTTGCGCGAGGATATCCGCGCGAGGATATCCGCTCGAGGATATCTGCTCGAGGATATCCGCTGGAGGATATTCGCTGGAGGATATCCGCGCGAGGATATCCGCTCCGAGGATATCCGCTCGAGGATATCCGCTCGAGCATATCCGCTCGAGGATATCCGGTCGAGCATATCCGCTCGAGGATATCCGTTGCGAGGATATCCGCTCGAGGATATCCCCGCGAGGATATCCGCGCGAGGATATCTACGAGAGGATATCCATTTTCTTGTGTGGATGTGCAAAATTTGGATACATGTCGTGGATATCCCAATTTTGGATATCCTACCCTATTCTAGGGCCTATCACTCAGAACACGTTGGGTTACCATCATTTGGAGCAATCTTGGACCCCATAGCGGGGCCCTAGGGAGGGACAACGTACCTCCTCAACCTACACAATTCCAGGGCCAATCACGCGGATCACGTTGGGTTACCTATCATTTGCGGCAATCTTGTTTCGCGAAGTGCTTACGCTTGGACAGAGCCTGGCTTTAGTTTCCCGCTTCCCCGCGCACATCACTTCCGCTTGCTTCCACCCCGACATTCCCGCACGTTGAGTAAGTTATGTAGAGCACAGCACATGATCGACCAACCAGTAGAGTCACTCGCGAGCAGCTAACTTAGCTGGTGGGGTCGTATAGTGGCGATCACGTGCAGGTGCACGTCGTAGCGCTTCGATGCGAAGGGTGTTGCCGATCCGCCGTCTCTGTGGAAGGGACATCATAGTCTCGTTATCGCAAATCTGGCCGGCAAAGTTATTAGCTATCGTCGCAGGGGTGCCTGCGATTTCGTCAGCTGAACGATTCTGTCGTTTGCCTTCGCAATGGTAGCATCTGACCTTTCCGCGTCGCCGGCGAAGCCAGCGCTGTCGCACATTCCGCACGCGACATCGTTTGCGACAGTAGTCAGTGCAACAAGCGGTGCTGCGTCCATCGACGTACAATACCTAGAGGTAGCGCGCCAGTGCAGGTGCATGCGGTGTGGGTTCATCCGCAGGAGATCGATGTTCCTCAAAGCTTCATTTGAAGTCAAGATCTCCGTGGTGTATTGTATCGTGTATTTCGCGTAGAAGCTCGCTTCCGCATCTCATGAACCCTAGAGTTACCTTATGATTGTCGTAGTCGTTCGATCGCTCCCCCACTCCACATCATTTTATCGTTATATTTTTCTCTTTTTCGTCTCTTCACTCACATGCCCGCTGTCGCTCCATTCAGTCGCAAGCTCGCCGCTAGCTTTCGCAGACTTTATCGCGAACTCTTCCCGCCGATAAGCCGTTGAGCGATCTGCTAGGAGATGGCGAAATACTGTGTGTTCTCGATGCTCTAGTTATTGATGCCTCTGGCTCCCGATGCCTCTGCTCCTTGATACCTCTTATCGTCGATTCCGTCTTCATTCCGTCTCTTCTCCCTTTACTCATTCTGTCGACGTTCCGTCTCCTCTCTCCCCTTACTCGTTCCGTCTTCATTCCGTCTCCTCTCTTCCGTACTCATTCCGCCTTTCCCCTCTCCCTTCTCCCCCTCTCTCCCCCCACTCCTCTCCCACCGTTTCGCTCCCGCCTACTGATCGCGCCAAACGCTCCTCCCTCCGAGTTTGAAACGTCTCATAACTTTCCGCTCCCTCCCCCCCATACAACCTCGAGCTCGCGTGTTTGGTGCAGCAGCTGCTTGCGCCTGACGTGCCCCCCTTCGAATTCTGAGACATCCCATTCCCTTCTCCCCGTCTCGTCTCCCCTCTTTCCCCCTTTCCTCTCCGCTCCCTTATACAGCCTCGAGCTCGCCTGTTTGGTGCAGCAGCTGCTTGCGCACGACGTGCCCCCCTCAGCCAGCGTCCCCCTGACGGCGGACTTTGAATCCTCCCCGCCTGCAACCCCCCCCCCCCCCCCGCGCCTGCTCCCGCCGCTGCCACTGCTGATAGCGGTGGTGGTTCCGCTGCCGCTGCTGCTGCTGATGGTGCTGGGATTAGTGCTAACGGTGTAATTGATGGTAGTGCTGGGGTTAGTGCTGGTGGTGCAGCGGCTGGTGGTGACGTCAGCAGCAGCAGTGCAAACGGAAGCTGTTCCAGCGAGGACAGCAGCGGGCGGGTCGGGCTTTAAGCGCACGTACTGCCATGCATGCACCAACGTGGAACGCTTTTTCAAGGTGATAGAGCCGCTGGTGTGGGCGTACAGAAAATGCCAGGGCGTACAGAAGATGCCAGGGCGTTCAGAAGATGCCAGGGCGTACAGAAGATGCGAGGGCGTTCAGAAGATGCCAGGGCGTTCAGAAGATGCCAGGGCGTTCAGAAGATGCCAGGGCGTAACCGTCACTCCTGGTGTGGCTGGGCTGGGTAGAGTTATGAGGCGCCCTCACAGTAAGGTCGCGTACCCCACTCATGCGTGAGGGGAGATGCCAAAGCCAAATCGTATCCAGGCGACTCCTTTCCTCCATATCCCTCCCTTTCCCCTCTCCTCTCTCCCACACCACCCCGTCTCCCCAGGTGTGTCGGCGGGTGGGTCTGAGGGACGTATCGCTCTTCACCTCGCCAGACCTCGTGGATGGCAGGGACGCTCAGCGTTCCCCTCATGTCCCCCTTGCCCCCCTCCTCTCCCTGTTTCCTCTCGCTGCGCGTACCTGTCTCCCCAGGTGTGTCGGCGGGTGGGTCTGAGGGACGCATCCAACCCTTGTGCTCAGCCGTCATCTCTCGCCCCTTCTCTGGCTGAATTGACACATGCAGCATACATAACCCTTCCCTCCACCACCCCTGCTGCTGTTTCTGCTGCTGCTGCTGCCGCTGCTGTAGCTGCTGATGCCGGTGCTGGCAACATGAGTGGACCATTGTTGAGTCTGGACTATGTTGACTTAGGCACAGAAGGAGGAGAAGGGATGGCAGGAGCAGCACTGGAAGGCCCTTGTGGTTCCACCACTGTGCCTCTCATCAAGTCCTAGCAGAAGCAGCAGCTGCAGCAGAAGCATCAACAGCAGCAACAGCAGAAGCAGTTTACTCAAGCAACTGCCACCGAGTCGTTCGATTCAGAGCCGCCAGACGCAGAGGCGCTGTCAACTACCAACAGAGAAGCAGGTGTTTCTTCAGGCAGGGAGAGCAGCGCGCAGGGGAACAGTGCCACAGGTGCTGCAGCTGTGACAGGAGCTGCAGAAGCAGCAGGTGTAGCTTCGCATGCACATGCAGGTGATGCCCAGAATGCACCTGCATGGTTTGGACTGAAGCAGGAGGAGAGGCGGAGCATGGCGGGTGCTGCACCTGCCGGCCTGCCGTCGCTCCGCGTGCATGGGAGGGCCGTGGGGGGATGCGTGGGAGGAGCAATGCAGCCTGCCGCAGCAGCAGCGCCAGCAGCAGGGCCAGCAGCAGCGCCAGCCGCAGCACCTACGGAGCGTGCAGCTGTAGCAGATGTGGCAGTGGGTGGTAGTGCAAGGGTGCAATCGCGTGATTGGAGAGGCGAGAGGGCGGATGTGTGACATGAGAGCCACAAGCAGCGACATGTGTACCATCGCCAGAGCCAGCACGCAAATGAATGCGACCGAATGTGTGGGGCACGTCGACCTCTGTACAAACACTGCATTTTAGTACGACACGGCATGAGCCATGAAAACCGTTCTTTCCATTCACCGTTGTACTGCCGCGCCGCCTCGAGGTAAAGCATATCCGCTTCTTACAAAAAAAACTCCTCATCGGCCTCACCCAACCCCAGCTGCCCGTTTGTTGGATGTGGCGACGGCGAGGGCGCGGCAGGCGGGAAGTGAGGTCTTGGTCCAAGTGACGACTTGGACTTGGTCCAAGTGAGAAAACGTGTGTTAGAAAAACGTGTACGCTTCACTTGTATTATAGCAATGGAGAAATTTCGAAGTCTAGGTACAAGTCTAACTTCACCAGCTAGCTAATCTGAACCTCACCATGTAAATAACGGTATGTTTTGTAGTTTAACTGGTACCGATCACTCCTTAATGAAACAAATACTCTTTGCCCCCTGCTGGTCTGCTTTGCATTCAAGGCGCATTTCCTAGATTCCGCTTCATTTTTTCGAGCATGGCGGCAACAATGGAGGCTAGTCCAGACTTTCCGCTTAGCATCTCTTTCAGATCTGCTTCAGGTGAGTGGTTCACCTGATTCTTGTGCGAAATCTTTGTGTGGATAATCGTGAAACTTGTCAGGTGCTGCTGTTTCTGCCCCATCACGAGCAAGTATAGACCGTGTACGGGCCTTGTTCGAAGAAGCATCCGCGTCACCGCTTTCGCTGCCTGCTCATTGGCAAGACTTCATTGCGCGTCCTGCACGAACCATCGTATGTTATTAAGCTTTTCCAGTCAGTTCATACTCTCGCATTTCTCACGGCGACTCGCCCTCTCAGGTGCACAATCAAGACGCTACTCCTGGGTTTGCTGTTCTCAGTAATAACAGTCCTCTTTCTGATCCAAGACAAGTCGAGGAGTAACTTAAAACCGCGTAGCTCCAAAATTGGGTCGACACTCGAAGTCTTTTTCATTGTCAATCAACAGTTGTTGATCACCCTCTCATGTCATTATCCGGAGAATATAATCATAAAATTACTATGATGTGTACAAGTTCCATCGTTATGCTGGAGCGGTTCGGTAGGGTTGATGCGTCTTATATCTTGCAGATGCTTCCATCCGCATGTCTCGCGTCATTTGTGGCAGATTCCGCAGGTCGACTTCTTCCAGGATTGTCTGATGACATTGCCCTGATGTGTCTGGCAATGGTTCCCAGAGGCTACTGGGGTGTCCTGAAATGTGTATCTAAATCCTGGAGATACACACTCAGCTCAGAAGATATATGCACGTAAGTTAACTCGCATTGTGACTCGTTGCATTTTCCTTGACGATTCCTGTTGGTGGCTGTCTTAGTGGGTGTAGCACACTGAGTGTACACGCCTTGGTCACGTTGAGTCTGGGCAATGTCTTTCATCCAGTGCCTAATCTTAAGTCTGAATGTGCATGCAGTCTCAGAAGACTAATAAAAAGAACAGAAAGTTGGTTATATGTGCTAGCGCATGCTGCAGGTCCCACTCTTCAAGCATACTCTCCAGGTGATAATAATTCTCCAATCCCTCTTTCAGGAGCTGTTGTGTCATGCCTTTTGATGCTGATTTGGTTTGCATCATCCAATGCAGTGCTTGGTCGGTGGTTCAAGTTCCCCTGGAAAGCTAACCTTGCACCAGGCAGTATGGTAGGAGTGGGTGAGCATCTGGTAGTTGTTGGTGGGCGAGCATCTGATAGCATTAACCCAAACACTGGAGAGCCTGAGCACCCTGACTTCACTTCACAGGCAAGGATACTTTTCGTGCATGTTTCTTAGTCTTCTGTTATGGTGATTGTAGTCTCCTTCAAATCCCTTATAACGTGTCCCACTGTTGCCAGGTGAGGCTCTTCAATGCAAGGACTCTGGCATGGTTTGATGGTCCACCAATACCACAGGCCTTTCCATGCCTGTGCTCCTGGAGTGATGGCAACAGGGCTTTTATTGGGGCGTTAACTCGAGGCAGTTTTCATGTTCTGTCGTCTGAGGTCCAATTTGAAGATGTGCAAGGAGTTGAAGCGCCTGTTGATGCAACCTGCGGAGTATTGCCCTCTAATAAAGATTCAAGCTGCACAACCAACTTGAGAGGCAATGTGCTCAAGAACTGGAGGATATTTGCACAAGGCCCAGTTGACATGCGTGATGGCGAAGGTCGACAAGTGTACAACATTGCGAGGTAAATGTGACTGGACTTGGTATTGCTACAGATGGCAGCATTGGTTTGCTCAAAAAGTTTTTATTTGTTTGTTTGTTTCCTTCTTGCAGTGCTCAATTGACTCCTTTCACCATGAATGGCAAGCAGCAAATAGCAATCTACAACGACTCTACATCCCCATCAGTCATTTTTGAAGTCGACCCAGAGAAGGGAACGTGGGTCAGAACTGAGGCGCACATATACCAACAGTCGATGGGAGTCTGCTTTGCAGCTCAGGTTGTTGGATGGACAGGATCCGACTGCGACTCCCTTTCTCGTGCTCTGCTTGAAAGCATTGACGAAAATACTATGGATCATCCGGGCCTCCGCTCCAAAGGGTTTGCGGTTTTGGATGATAATCTGGTCGCAGTTGGTGGAGTTCGTTACAACATTCGTTCATTTGATGTGACTGAGCTTCATGATTTCAATGTTTGGAGCCAAGAGGCACGGGGATGGGTGCCTGGCCCGCCACTGCCATATGGAGGTGGAACGATTATGGCCATAGCAGTATTGAGCGTCTAATTGCACATTTGAGGTTTGCAGGAGTTGCACCATCTTTATGGATCAAGCATACAGATCCCACCACTTGTGCGGATCAAGCAAATACCATTCCAAACAAAAAACACATGCTGAGGTTGCATCTGTTCTGGCCATTAATATCAGACAGCGAGCGCCATGAATCAGCACACAACCCAACCTAATGATCATCCCAATGTAGTGTGTCGTGTCGTCGTCGTGCTGTAACCAGAATCCGCCGCATTGCTTCATAGCTAACCAAGAAAACTGCGGACGATGGAACCTGCACAGGAAAGGATGCGTGTTAGCACCAGTGCAAGCCAGATAAATAGGTGACTGTGTACCTAATGCACACGCTTACCTTGTAGAGCAACCTGGGTGTCATTCCACGGCCGAATGCCACAATTCCCTGCCAACAACACATAACCGGACCGTGAACCACAGGAAATTGAAGAGCATGACAACACAAGCAAACCCACAGGGAAGATCCTGCGTATACAAATTCTTACACCATTACCTCTTCAGCCCACACTTTTGCAAGCATTTGTCTGGTGCCTAGGTATGCTTGCCCCGGTAAAACCTCTTGGGTCATGACCCGTGTCTTGAGAACGTCCAAGGGAGAAGTGAATATTGTGGCCATGGCCCCTGCCATCTGATGGATGAGAAACACACAAAAAGGCTTGTGAAGATGACCTTTCCCACAATCTGCATGGGAATGATCACAATAACCAGTTCCAATCCTTGCACTCACAGCTCCAATCCACATGTTGCTGAGAAGCAATTCGCCTTGCGATAACTGGCGAGCTGCCACAGACTTGCTCCCTTGTCCTGTTGAGCCTGATAAACCTGGAAAACCTGTGGAGCTTCCTCTGCTGGCCTCACTGGAAGCCAGAGCCCGTGCTGCAAGAATTCTCTCTCGCCTGCGCTTGAGCGTTTCAAAGGTCGTGAACTGTATGGCTGCATAGGGAATGTCCCTAGCCACCTGCAAGCATAGAAATGTGTGGCACACAAGGGAGCTTAGTTCTTGAAGGTGCTAGAAAGGGGAGCCTGCACACATGCCCTACCCATGCGAACGTTACCACTTCCCCAAATAGACACCCTACTCAAGGCGCACCCACCTACCATGGTGGAGTATCCAGTGTAGAACCCAGGCAGCCCTTCCGCCCTCCACATGCTGGTGACGGCAGCAAGGAGCCCAGCAAACTGCCCTGCCTGCACACGCTGCTTCACCACCTCTGGTGGCACCCGCACCAGGCTGGACATCACATTCCCAGCCACTGCTGCTAGGGCTGGGGCTGCAGGCAGGAGCACCGATCGCGCCCGTGCTCGTCTCTCCTCACTCCACCAATCATCAGCATGCCATTCTCCAGAACCAACACTCCACCCTGCCAGTGATTCTCCGTCAATTCTACTTCTGCTGCCGCTCTCTCTTGGCTTTGAGGGACGAAAACCTGTGAGCGAGTTTATGGTATCTTCTGCTGCCCGCTTGGCCTGCTCATAGGCTGTGAGGAAGATGGCGGAGGAAGGGGCGGAAACTGCAATTGACACCATTAATCCGGTGTAGAGGGCAGGAAAACCCTTTGTGCGTACGATTCCTGTCGCACATGCCCATAGATTGTTGTAGTTTCCACGAATCTTCTTGGAGGCCTGTTCAGAATGCGAAATTGGCATGATAATGATTAGTGGTGAGTTCCATAGAGAGACAATGCCTGTGGAATTACGCAGCAAGGAAAGAATACTGCATCATGATATTGGGTTACACCCATTCATACATACATACCCCTACATTCCAAAAACCCATTGCTTCCCTGACTCACTTGCAGGATGGTGCGCGTGGTGTCGAACGGCTGCAGAATTGTCTTCGAAATCAGCGACGCCAACGCGCCTGCCATGAAATTCTCCCACCATTGCAACTCCACTTTGCCTGCACCGCCTCGAACTCCCCCAGGACACTTCGTACCCCTCACTGGAGCGCCAGGAGGTGCTGCAGATGCATTTTTAGGCGAAGTAACAGACTCGGGAACAGGCGGAGGAGGGGTGAATGTAAGGGTGGTCGTTGCTGGGTGATGGTTGACGCTTGACACCAATTGCGCTATGCCTCGTTGTCCGTTACGGCAATCAGCGTTTCTGTAGCTTTGATGGCCAGTTGTTATCAGAGGGACACCTTTCGACCTTCTTCTCGCTCTACAATTTCGAGTTGATAGTCGCAAGTGCGAAATTATGCTGAGAGATCCATCCTTAGCAATCCCTACGCTAGACGGCGCTCCGACCCCGCAAGTCGATGGAAGCGTTTTTTGCTGTAATATGCCTGCAAATCCTCCCTTCTTTGAGTGACCCATCCTAATGATACGAACATTCAACTGCTAGAGCATCGAACGCGCCAGCCTCGTGATGGCTCAAAAGACCACATTACTACTCAAGAATGCGTAATGTGAGGCCCATTACGCGGATCCTGCTCCCCTGGTCATAATAATCAGGATCAAGGAAAAAATTGCTAATGTCTAAGGGGAGCGCGGATGACATGGAAAATCGTCAGCAAGACGATCTCCGATTTCTGGCTTATGGGGGAGGGGAGGGGTTGAAGAGAAAAGAAGAGGGGAGGGTGGGGTGGGGAATTGAGGGCAGGGGCGTGAGAGGGCTTGGGGGATTGCAGGCAAATGGGGCTGATTATTTTGAGCGAAATTCAAGTTTCGCAAATGATGGGCCATTGGCACTAGCGAAAATGATTTCGTCAGATCGATGAGTAACCCACGCCTGACAGACTGACGCCAGCTTCGCGCCAAGAATCTGCTCTGAACGAGGTCTGTCACCTGTCAGACGGACTGTACGCATGTACAGCCACTTCTCCCTCGGTAAAGCAACTTCTCCCTGAACATTTCTCGATGAACTCGAGGTTCTCTCTCTGCCCTCACCCCAGCTCCAGCATTGTGCTGCTGCTGCTGCACTCTGTCTTGCCTCTCTGAGCACCACGCAGATCCATTTCATTCCTCCACAGCCCCAGCATAGTCTGCTTTTTTAGTTGATGATTTGGGAGTATCGCTTCCATTTTTCAGACCTGACTTCTTGAGCTCTCCATTCCGTCTCAGTGAGCCAGCCAGACTGACAACCTTGCCAACATCGCGTTCTTACTACATCTCGGTTCCTGAAGCTGCAGAAAGTTAAGTGCTCCCACTAGCAGTTACTACGATAGCTTCGTCGCCTCGGTGGGGAGCCGTCAAGTCTTTGTTGCAGCTTTCCTCTCAGAGCTTTTTGGTTTCTTTCTCCTTTGACATTAGTGTAAATTATTTTCAGCTTCTGGTGCTGCTTTTCCCAGTTTCCACATCCATCTCTCGCTAATAATCCGCTAGCCTTGTCCGAGTGAGTGAATGCAGCAGCTATTTCATGACAGAATATAGTAGACTCGGCGCATTGGAAGCTTAAAGCAGCCTCGCATTAGCAATTCGCCGTCTGGGTGACATTAGTTCCTCCCAGCGATCCATACGCAGTTCCTGAAAATCAAATCCTTTTTGCTGAGCCTAAAACTCCTATGGATTCCTTGGTTCCTGCATCGGCCACTTCAACAGCTGAAGCCTCTAAGACCTTTCCGATTGATGTTGACGGTGATGAAGGATCTGACCACTGCTATCCGAAGGTCAAGTTGCCTCGCAAGAACGTGAGTCGACCTCCTCGCGAGACGTTGCCTGGCGAGATTCTTAAGAATAACGGTGGACCGTTCGGCTCTGTGGCTGCTTCTGCTGCGAAAAACCTCTAAGTCGCCTCCAAAGGACACAGATGGTGATGAAGAATCTGACCACTGTTATCCAAAGGTCAAGTTGCCTCGCGTTGACAAGAATATACAGTCTAGACGGACTCCTCCTGCTCCAGCTGATAAGCCTAACGTAGTCCCTGCAATTCGTACAGCTTCTCCGGGCTCTATCGCTGCTACTGCTGCTCCCATCCTTCCGTCGTCTGCTCCAGCCGTTGAAGCTCTTGACGCTCCCGCGTCCTCCCACGTGGACGCAGCCAACGTTGCTTTGGAGGCATCGGCGCCAGCCACCAGTTTCTCTCAAGAGGCTTCGGCGACTGGGGACCAGGGTGGCGGTGCTGGACAAGCGGAACTGGTGACTCCTAGCAGTCGACGATTCAAGAAGAGGATGAGCCAGAGTCCTGCAGGTTTGGAGCACTTGACACCTACCTCGAAGCGGCGGAAACTCGCAGGTCGCAGCTATTGGGAGAACATGACAGGCAGCGTTTCACGGATTGCAGAGATCAATCGTTTTTTGGAGGACAATTCGGGCGTGGATGCAATTTCTCCCCTTGAAGACGACGCTGCCTGGTTCCAAAGAGACGAATGTCCCTGACGCCAGCCGTGCGGCGTCCTTCTCTTGGCGCAGCTGTCAGACCTGGCGTGACGCCAGGGCACGCTGGTCGCGGAGGGTGGAGCATGCAGCGCTGCGCCCTGATGCAGGAAGCAGGAAAGGCTGGAAAGGGGTCGAGGCAAGCAGGGTCGGAAGCGGGAGAAGCTCGTTCGAAGCAAGCGGGACACGAGGAAGCAGTGCAGGTGGGAAAGGCTAGTTCGAAGCAAGCGGGAGAAGCTAGTGCGAAGCAGGCGGGAGAAGCAGAAGAAGCGGGACAGCGTGGTCTGAAGGTAATGGCGAAGGACACAGTAGAGCAGGGCATTCGTGAAGGCGCAACTGCTGAGCAAGATCAGACCAGCGGAGAAGCAGGCAAGCAGGGAGCGGACCTGGGTATGGGTGTGGAGGGGCCTGTGGAGCTGACGAAGGAGTATCTTGAGTCGCGTATGAACGTCATCTTCGCTCAAGAGACCTGCAACGCGGACCAGAAGCCGGTGCGGATCGCCAGGCAGGTCAAGGCATGCTTGAAGCGGTGCTATCTCGCGTCCATGCTCGACATCAGGGCGTTTGAAGCGAGTGCGGATGAGGGGAGCGAGGATGAGGAGGAGGAGAATGCGGGGAAGAGCGATGGAGGGGCATCAGGCAAGCGGGTTGAGCCAGCAGCTGGGGAGAAAGAGGCTGGGGGAGGGAGGAATGAGTCATTAGCCACTGTGAGGTTCCGCTTACAGGGTTTGAGAGAGATCAAGGACGAGCTGTTGAAGGAGTTGCAGGAGATTGAGGCTCTGGAGAAGCTAGAGGAGGCTGAGGAGGAAGATACGCAGCAGAGCAGCGAGGAGGGAGCAGACGAGGAGGAAAGTTTTGCAGGAGAGGAGGAAGCTTCAAATGCTCAGGTTGCAGAAGCAATTGAGGAGATTCTCCCAGTTGTGGAAGAAAAGGTGAGGACGAATCTAGGCATTGTGTTTTGACTGGTGCAGTTCTGTTCGAGCGAGACACTAGGATGCCATACTTACTTAAATCTGCCCGTCCCATTGTTTTATCGCAGATCAAGTGTACACGCTCTTGGATCAACACCACACTATCACTGTGTGAGCGGGCAGCAACAGTGGAGCAGCAGCTGGTTCAGGCATACCCTGGGGCTGCAGCTGCTGCTGTTGGTGGAACAGGCGATTCCAGAGGATCAACAGCAGCAGTGAGAGGTGCAGGAGGGCTTGCAGGAGTGCCGCTGGCTGTGTTGACTCCACGAACAGCAGCTAGGGGCCTGGCGAATCTTGGGCAGCCAGATATGCCCACGGACTGGGAGTGATGCGGGCAGAACGTAGGAAGCCGAGTTGGCAGTACTAGTGATTGTGGGTGGGCGATCCTGGAAGAGAGGAATGGGTTTGTGCTGGTCACACTGCAAGGTGTGGGTGGTGGGCTGCGAACACAGCTTAGGTGGGGATGGAGACTGACTACAGGTATGGTAGGACCTTGGCACTAACGTCTATGATAACTGCTGCTTGCCAATGCTGGCTGCTGAACATTATGAATTTTTTCGAAAGTGTGTAACACTTTCTAAAAATGCGTATTGTGAAAGCGCAGCTGACTGTAGCGCAGCAAGGCAATTGCGAATTACTATTCGCCGAATATATAAGAGGGTTGGAGGCCATTTGGCCTCCACCCACGTCTTCATTTTGGAACTTTGCAGTTCCTCTCCACCATTCTCGTCCAACCACTTAGTTTTTCCGTTGTCACTTGGATTCTTTCACTAACTCGTAGACAAGACAGACTTATCAACCGTGAAAGGCAACGGACGCACACATGCGACTATACCTGGCGTGCGTTCAACTGAAAGCGAAGTGCGCCGGAGGAAATTGCAACTGGCACGCCAAGGACGAAATCGCCAGTGGCGCGCGCCAAGGATGAAATCGCCACTGGCGCCAGTGGCGCGCGCCAGGGAAGAAATCGCCACTGGCGCCAGTGGCGCGCGTCAGGGACGGAATCGCCACTGGCGCTAGTGGCGCGCGCCAGGGATGAAATCGCCACACGCTCGCCTGCAGCTCTTGCGCCAGTGGCGAAATCGCCACACGCTCGCCCGCAGCACTTGCGCCAGTGGCGAAATCGACACACGCACACCTGTGCCACGAAATCGCCACTAGAGCGGCAGTGACAGGACTTCCTTGACTGGGAGCCAATCACCAATTATGAGTCGCTTGTTTAAGTGCTGAAAGCCTTTTCATT